AAAGCAATTGTGAATGCCTTCAGACTCCTTTAAACCACCTCTCCCTAGGCCAATTTTCCTGAAAAATCAACACCAAGTAATAAGAATAAAAGATTCCACTATATTCACTGCCTGAATCTCTCTCAACCCTGGACAGACAGATTGGATCCATGCACGCAAAGCGAACTTAGCTAGTGGCGCCAAATCACACAAAGCCATTTTTAAGATGCCTGGTCTATGCTATCAATCCTCTTACCTTAGGCAACCCCCTCCTGCTGGTTAAGTGCTAACACATGCTTTACAACTGCAGGAAGGGATATGGTTTACAGATTAAAATTAGATGCAGAATTAAATTGCTTGAACACAGCAAAGAAGAAGGGGGTAGTAGAAGGGTTGGAGAAGACAATTTGGGCATGCGAATACTCACACACACTTAATTCCAAGACTTGTATTTCCATGAATTTCCATTAGAATTCTTGGGTTCAGGTTCTACTTTCATTACTGAGAGTCATTTTCAGAGCAATAATACATAGGATCTGTCAAAGAATATGCAGCCCCATGAAAATGCATGTTCAAAATGTGGGATTTACAGTCATAAGAGATCTCTCAGTCAAATACCAGAGCTCCTTTTAGAAAGCCAAGTAGAGTAATTTAATGACTACTAATGACATTTGTAACTTTTCAGGCTACTATAATAAGAGTAATCAGATCTCAGGCTTCAGGGTGTAACATGATCACCTGTGCCTTTCAGAAAGGAATTTCTGTACACATGGACAGCACTGCACAGCTGGCCAAGCACATTATTGGTAATGTCAGAAAGAAGGGGAAGAGAGATCACCCTCTCCAAATCATTACATGCCTTTTGCAACTTGTAAACACAAACTAACAAGCAGTTAAGATAGATGTGTCTTTATTAGATTTTTTAAAATTGCCAGTTGTTGCCTGAAAACCTAAGACCTAAACAACTAAAAAAAAAAAAAAGAAAGAAAGTTCATACTATGTACTTTCTTGGTTTAGAATATAAGGCCATAAAATGAAAGTTATTTACTCATCCACTAAACAAATATGTGTTAGGAGCCTATTTATTTACTGGCATTTTGCCAAGTGCTGGGGGATACCACTTCCTAGGAACCTGAAGTCTAGCGGCAGAGAAAGATATTTATCACATAGTTGCATAATTAGAGAGCTCTAAAGTAAAGGGCTAGAGAATAAAAGGAAGACCACCAGAACTTTAAAAAAAGAAAAAAAAGGATCAAAGTTGCATCTTATTTAACTTCCAAAGCAAGAGAAGATATACCAGTGAAGAAATTCACTGGGTCATTTGCTGACATGGAAAAGTTACAGATTTTTAAGTGCTAGACAGGGGTATTCTTGGTGATGTGCTAAGTAAGTCTTGAAAACTAGCTCTCTGGATAAGAAGATGAATGAATCCAAGGTGTATACATGGTTGGGCAAAAAAAAAAAAAAAAGAAAATCTCATAGTTTGTTGGTCAGTAATCAGTCTTCAGTTAGGTCAAGTAAGGATTTGGTGTACCAAGGTCATTCAAAGTTTCATCATTTTTATAAGTTTCAGCTGGTTTGAGCTAGTTATGATGAAATTTAATTTTTGTGTCATTCAGGCAAGTGCTGCTCTGGTGGAAAAATTTCCATTTACAGATGTAAAAGATAATTGGTAAAGGAGTTGGAGTAGGGGGGGATCAGGGAAGGAAGACAGAGCATCCCAGGCAGACATGTGAGAATGACATGTGTAGATGCCAATCGTGGGATAAGAAAGACAGTTCAAGGAAAGGTTAGAGGCCCATACTGTGTGGCTGGAAAAGAGCCTATAGGGAGACTGCTGTCACTTGAGGTTGAGGAGGTGGGTTAAGGAAAGGCCATATAAAATATTTAAGCCACATTAAAAATTTTGGTCTACTGTCCTAAAAACAATAGGATTCTACTGAAGGACCTTTAAAATACATGGGGCTGAAGGATAGTGGATGATCTGATTAGTGTTTCAAAAAATCACTAGTTACAGTGTGAAAGATGAACTGAAGTATTTGCTAGTTGAGTTGCTTCTATAGCATTTAGGAAGCGATCAATATTGTCCACAACAGAGATGACAGAATTTAGAACAGAGATGACAGAATTTAAAACAGAGAGGGTTCTGGTAAATATGGATGATTTCAACAATGAAAGAAAGTGATAGTGTGAGGGGAAATGATAATTAGGGCACCCAAATTTCAAATTGCCCCATTATTCATCAATATAATACCTAGTCCCTGATTCACCCATTTCCCTGTCTTAGGGACTGTGGTTGGCAGCTTCTCAAAATGGGCCCTAAAGATCCTCATCAACTGATATATACATCCTGGTGTATAAACATACACCTCCTCTTGAATCTGGGTTGGACCTAGTGACTTAATTCTAACAAATTGTGGTGGAGGTGACGGAGTCACTTCCAAGATTAGGTTACCAAAAAATGTAGTTTCTGTCATGGTTGCTCTCTTTTGCTTTCTCCTGGATTACTCTGTGGGAAAAACCACCTGCCACATCATAAAACAGTCTCATGGGAGGGTTTCTGAAGCAGGGGACTGAGGCCTGCCCGTAGCCACTTAAGTGAGCTTGCAAGAGTGGATCCTCCTGTAGTCAAATCTCCAGATGACTGAAGCTGAATGGACATCTTGATCACAGCCTTACAAAAGACCTTGGAGCAGGAGGAACCCAGCCAAGCCATGCCAGACCCCTGACTCCAGAAACTGTGAGATCATGTCTTTATTCTTTTAAGCTGTGAAGGCTTGGGGTGCTTTGTTACACAGCAATAGATAGCAATCTGCCCTTTTTAAGTCACTTTCATGTAAAAAAAAATAAAGCTCCAGGTACACTATTTTACACTCCACTATTTTATTCCTTATCACTTTTCTTACTGCATCTTCTTAAAATGTTATTTTTATTGAAATCAGTGTACAGACATGATAGAAAATTTAAATAGTTTGAGTCTGAATGATTTAAAGCACGATAAAAGAGAAAAGAATAGGAGTGGTGATATATTTATAAACTCACCTCTATTATAAGGCTAGGAGGTATTCTGCCTCAGTAAATTTGGCATTCTCAAAGAATAGATAAACTGAAAGAACTCAAAGTACATTTATCTTCTCTGTTTCATTAAATTTTAGTTATTTTTAGTAAAACTCTAGTTGTACTAATTAAGTAAAAATAACTGCCTTCCATTTTCTGCTGTAATTATATAATGATAGGAGAAAGACCTTTTCTGTATCTTGTTCATAATATCGGCTACTACAAATTAAAAATGAACTTTGGGCATTTATAAAATATGAAATTAAGTTATTTCCATGAAAATCTTGCCCTCTGGATACTGCAGGACTTTAGTCTTCAGTAATTCCTTCCCCATCTCTAGCCCCAACTCAAAAGATTTCATGGAGGTTCTAGGAGATTTCACAAACCCAATCAAACCTTACATTGTACTACCCACCTTCTTCCACTTCTCCTTTCTGTTGAATTATAACCATTCCTTTTTAGCATCACTGTTCTTTTGGCTGCATGTAGTCACACCCAGGAGACACTGCTTTCTCCTGCTGACAGAGCAATCTCATTGGGTAACAACAACATGGCTGCCAAGTTCTGCCACTTCTGGGTACCACCTCTCCCCTGCAGTGCTGACTCAAGCTGCCAAAGCTTCACAATATGGAGAGCTAGAGAATTTCTTTCATTTTTCAGTGTCACACTCCAGTAAAATACTACCAAAGAACTGCATTTTTTCCAGTACCACATCAAGCTGTAATGGAGTAGTTCTTTCCATTTATTCAGAGACTCAAGCATAAATCCATAAGGTGAAGCCAGCAGACTCATCTACATACATGTCAAGCACCTTGCTAAATTCAGAACTGTTTTTCATGTTAAGGCTAAGGCTGAGGCTAAGGTTTTATGATTGAACCAACCCTAAAAATCCTTTTTTTTTTTTTTTTCCTTCTTAGAATGAAGCTGTCTGTAAGGAAGTTCCTCAGCTCTTCATAAAATAGATTCCTGGGAAGGCATAGTGAGAATCATCTAAATTACAGCAAAGGCAACTACTTAGCCTCAAACTGGTCTGCAAACTCTGACTTCAGAGTGGTTCCATAAAACACCAGTTAAGTAATCCTTTACTCTTTAATTTTTCCTGTTAACAACAGCTACAATGACAATAGAAATAGTAAATATCTCAAGATTTCCCAGTAAGAACACTGAATTAAGAAATTGGGAGAATTGCTTCAGCCCAATTCTATCATGAACTACTTCTCGGATGCAAATCAGACTGACTATTCTTCCAGAATCTTCCATGCCAAATGATTTCCTCATCTTTAAATAAAATTTCTGGAATAGTAGATATCAAAAGTCCCTTGCAACTCTAAATCTATACAATTGAATTGAAAAAAAAAAGAAAAATTTAGAAAAATTATTTAGCCAAACAATCATATATCTCAGAAACTTTGTTTTAGGTTTGCCTTTATTGATACTGGAATTTTTTTATTGTCATCAATTTTAAACTATTTATTTATTTTCTTACTTGCTTACTTATTTCTTTTGAAAGAGAGAGAAAGAGAAAGAGACAATCCCAAGCAGTTCTTGGGGCTCTATCCCATGACCCTGAGATCATGACCTGAGCCAAAATCAAGAGCTGGGTGCTTAACTGACTGAATCACCTTACGCCATTTATTCAACAGAGACATAGAGAGAGGAGAAAGTATTTGCTGGTTTGAGTCAATAATCAGACTCATCACCTTAAAATATATAGATAAGATTCTTTTAAAGAGCAAACCTTCAAAGAAAATCAAATAGAAAAATATATATTAAAGCAGGGCAAGTATAAGGAGGTATAAAAACAATGACAATAAGAGCAAAGGGAACAAAGATAATCCCCAAGTTTCCATTTTGGGTTTCATTTCATTTCCACACTTTGAGGAAGTCAGCAGCAGGTTATAGTTTTTGCTGTTTTCTTCACACTTGTAATTCCCAATGTGGTTGAAATCTCATTCCAGGCTAATTGAAATAGGAGGAATGATTCAGACTCCTGATTTCAAGCCTGGGCATCAAACTTGATTCACAATGCTTTCATTACTAACTAACTTATATTCTACCAAGAGCACCCCAATGTAAGTAAAACATGCCAAATAATTATACATGTAAATTATCAAGAAGCATAATTTCATTGTTAAATATTTACTTGATCTTGTATAGTATTTGCATGGGTATACAAGCTCTCCCTGGGTAATAGAAACACTATATGTCTTCTAGTCTATTTGACTCAGTGCCATCAGAAGGAAATGTCAGGCACTGGGGGAAAATTTGGCACTTTGATTCCACAAGAGTAACTTGCTCCTCTTGCAAATCTTTACTGAAATGTCCAAAAGGAACCAAGAGTAGAGCACGATTGAAAAAAATAAGAAAAAGGTGCTATTCATACTCCAAAATTTTTTGCAGAATTTTTTCATTAAATTAGGAATATAGGCCAATGAGCTTAGACTGAGGGAAAGACTGGCACCCTCAAATATTGCAGATGGGAATGCAAAATATTACAGCCTCAATGAAAGAGAATTTGGCAATATCTAATAGAATGATATATGCATTAAATGTAATTAAAATACTTAAACAGTTCACAAAATTAAAAATGAACTGAAATGGATCAAGCTAATTGCATATCCAGTTGGTAGAAGACTTGACATAATACATGACATTATGACGGTACTACCTTTGTGGAATATATTTCATACAGAGATACAGAGCTATAAATTTCACTCAGTAGTTTAATTCTTCACTAATTTGGTATTAGAAAGCTATTTTATGTAAATTATAGAATAATTAAATAATTACAATAATACATAATATGTTAATATTATTAGAACCAAGATTTTCAGTATAAAAGTAAAGAGGTACAAATATAAAATCAAAGAATTTAATTAAAAATTATATAATGCTATATTTTAATTGGAACTATTAGAATAAACACATCTTAAAAGCCAAACAAACATGTTCTCCCAAATTTTGTCCACAGCAAAGCCCAAAAGTAACAATAATCTTGGTAAATTGCATTATTTGTTCAAACCATTATCTGTCTCTTTCTACTAGATCCATTCCTGCAGAACCCCTATCAGGCATCCCTTCCTGTGGGAGAAGCAAACTTTCCAGGAAACGCACAATCACAGCTTGGAGAAATGCCTACATAGTGTGCAAGGTACTCAGCTCAAAAGGAGAAGACAATGTCAGTAGACTGCCCCAACAATTCAGGGACATAATTTAAATGTGAAAGGATAGTTTGAGGTTCAAATATATAAAGGAGAAAAGAAAAACTGGGAAAGATATTTTAAATTTTTCCAGGAAAACACTGTTTTGTTTTGTTTTGTTTTGTTTTTTCCAATTACAGTTTCTGAGGCAAAAGTGTGTATGTAGGATGGATTTACTCTCAAGGTGTGGGAAAGATGGGAGTCAATCATTCACCCCTTGATGGGAGAGTTTTCCTAGCTGAGCTTTATGATCATAACTGGTAAAGTCTGATCAAAGATATTGATTTTTTCTTTTCTGATTTTTCTCTTCCTTCCCATTTCTTTATATATAGCACTAACTCTCTCCTGGGACTATGACTAAATTCAAGTTGTACTAAATGATGTACTGGTATTATGTATAGCATAGCAAAGCATGTTCACTTGAGCTCTGGGCATAGCATGTTTACTCGATAAATATTACTTAGGGAATTAGTAGTTAAATTTTCAGTAGCTGCCATGGCATCTTTGTTATGAGGATTTGACTGTGTTTTCAAAATGTTGGGCAAATAGGAAAGGTTCTGTGGATTTTTGAGGCTCTGGAGTACAAGGGGTACCTGAAAAGATGCTGAAGGAGCAATGCCCGTCCCAGTGGAAGGTAACTGTGGCTGCATCAGCTGAAGAAGAGACCAGAAATCACTTGGGCACCTCAGATAAGATCCTTTTAATGAGGACACAGCAGAGGAAGAATAAATTAATGAGAGAAGATGATTTTGCACATATTGTTGTATTTTACATCTTGGCTATAAAAATAGAGATAAATTAATTTTATCAGATATTTAGACTTTGTTAAAATAAGAGATATATCCCAAGTATAAGTTGATTCTGAAGCCCTATTTTTCAGCAAAACAATCTTCAAGATGTGTTTGAACCACCTTAAATATAAAAAAAATTAAGTGACTAAAAAGGATCTATTAAAATATGTAATTTATTTTTTAAAATCACATATTCTATGTTCTCAAGAAACACTTATTAACATTCTAAGATATAGATTTTCTGTAGACAAATTTGGGAAATGTCTCTCTAGAGGCATGTCTTCTGCCTGGGGTAGACTGGGTCTCCAGTGAACTGTTAAGTGCCCATAAGACACACCGGCCCAGCACCTTCACATGTCTTATTATTAAACCTCACAATTTACAAAACAAAAAAGGATCATGGTAAAGCCTTGAAAAGAGACAAAGCCTGCATGGTAATTATTTTCTACTATCTTAAAACATTTAATATTTTAAATTAGGGTAGGATTTCAATACAGTAGACTGAGCACAGACCTTAAATGGTGTTGGAACAACTAGATTCACATGCAAAACAATGAATCCAGACACAGACCTTACACCCTTCACGAAAGGTAACTTAAACCGCATCACAGGCCTAAATGTAAAATGAAAATTATTGAACACCTAGAAGATAACAAAGGAAATAATCTAGATGAACTTGGGCTTGGTAATGACATTTTAGATACAACACAGAGTCTTGATCCATGGAAGAAAGAATTGAAAAGCTGGGCTTCATGAAAATCGAAAATTTCATGAAAATTAAAAATTTCTGCTCTGCAAAATTCACTGTCAAGTAAAGATAAGCCACAGACTGGGAGAAAATAACTGCAAAAAACATATCTGATAAGAATTGTTATCCAAAATAAACAAAGAACTTAAAAATCAACTATAAGAAAAAAGACAAACATTAAACGATAGGCCTCACAGAAGAGATTTATGGATGACAAATAAACACATGAAAAGATGCTCCACAGCATGTCGTCAGGGAAATGCAAATTAAAACAATAATGATATATCACTTCATACCTATCAGAGTGGCCAAACTCCAGAACACTGACAGCACCAAATGTTGGCAAGGACATGGAGTGACAGGAACTCTTATTCATTGCTGGTGGGTATGAAACATGGTACAGCTACTTTGGAAGACAGTTTGGCAGTTTCTTACAAAACTAAACATATTTTTCCCATACAATCCAGCAATCAGTTTCCTTGGTATCACCCAAAGAAATTAAAAATTTAATACCACACAAAAACCTGCACATGGATTATAGCAGCTTTAATTGCCAAAACTTGGAAGCAACCTCAAGTAAGTAAGTGAATAAATAAACTGTGGCAAATCCAGACAATGGAATATTATTCAGCACTAAAAATGAATGAGCTATCAAGCCATGAAAAGACACAGAGGAGCCTAAAATCCATATAAGTGAAAGAAGACAATCTGGGTGAATAGGTAGAGCATGGAGGATTTTCAGGGCAGTGAAAATACTTTGCATTATAATTATGGATACATACCATTACACATTTGTCCAAAGCCATAGAATGTGTAACACCAAGAGTGAACTGTTTAAACCATGGACTTTGGATGATAATGATGTATCAGTGTAGGTTCATCAATTTAACAAATGCTCTACTCTGGTGGGGGATGTTGGTAATGAGGCAGGCTATGCATGGGTAGGGGCAGGGAGTATAGGGCAGGGAGTATATGGGATAGCTCTGTATCTTTGCTTTGAACCTAAAACTGATCTAAAAAAAAAAAAAGTCTCAAAGAGCATGAGAATTAATGTAGCACTCAATTTCTTATCAACACAGGATACCAGAAAAGAATGGAAACAATACTGTCATGACATGAGAGGAAAAATACATTTTTCAATCTTAATTTCCAAACCCAGACAAACTGTTACCATCCTTGATGACTTGAAAGTAACAGTAAACCTGCCAGAATGTGGGAAGCATAAGAAAAGTTAGAGAATAGCAGTTTGGAGGCATTTATATCTTCATTTGAAGAAGTAAGGGGTTACAATATACTGTCAATAATGATGGAAAAAGAAACAGCTGTTTCAGTATATTTTTTAAAGCCACAAGGTTACCAACAGAGAAGCCATATACTAGGAGGTTGGAGAGGAAGGAGTTAAGGAGAATCACAGCAAGCCATCAATAAATTATGTTAAAGGTGGATACATTAATAAGTAATTGCATAAAGATACCATTTAAAAATATAGGAAAGACAAAAATTTAAAAAAATGATGATTTCTGAGAAGTGAAACTTGGGGAAGTTAATACTGTTGTATATATGAACCCTTCTATACAATTTAACCTTTTTTAAACCCTGATTTATGTCATTTTATGAAAAAAATATTTCTAAAAATAGAAAATGAAATTGCACTAGCTTAATCTGTGTTTGACTAGTTCTGGGTGGAGCTAACGTGTCACATGTGTTTTAATGACTCGTGTTCGCGTGACGCTGTTCACGGTCACTAAAGGAGCTTTTCCACCACTGACGCCTTATTACTCTCCATCCTGAAACTTCACAAAATTATTTCTGGGAGTCCCTGAGACATTTCACAGGATTCCAATAACAATTACATTCTCGTTCTCTCTGACCCCTGCTGTCAGTATCAACGATGAAGGTTCTGGCGTCCTTTCCAATGGTGCAATTGCCCAAGCCACTAATGACTTGACTCTGACTTGACAAACTGGTGTGCCAAACAGATACCATATGGTTCTCAGGAGTAACTGGGGTGGCTGCCCCTCTTTCCCACCCCCCCACACTCATAACTCGAGGTTTCGAAGTTTTCCCCGTAAAAAGAAAATTCTTTCAGCTTCTCGCTACAGTTTTTCTCCACATAAAACTCAGGGAGGGATGGATCTAGGGGGTCTAGCAGGGGACTCTCTTGGGCAGGTCCTGTTCTGGCTGCTCTGTATCCTGCTTCCTACTTGTAGGACGGCAAGGGTGTGGCTGGCCTCAGTCATTTGAAAGATGCCAGAATCTACCAGTTCCCTCAGTTCAGATTCTCTTTACAGATTGGCTTTATTTTTTCAGACACAAGTTCTCTACACAGTAGGTGTTATGACGGCGTAGCTACCAAAACAGACCTCTCCCAGCTTTGCAAACAGAATGACACTAAGAGTGACTCATAATGTACCCAAATTCGAAAACCCTAGGATAGGACTCTTGCTGAATCAGGCAATCTAGGCCAATCAACCATCACCATCTGAGTGGCTAAGGAGGCAGTCACGTAAGTCCATGACAGTTCCAACAGAAAGCCTATAATCAACAGTGTGGGGAAGATCATTTTCCAGAAGGATGGGAGGGAGGGGGCAGTGTTAGTTCTCTGCACACAAGAAGATACACTGAGGTACAGGAAATATCCCGGTTGCAATGTCCTACAATGACCAATTAGAGAATACAATTTGAATGGTTTATAAATTGAGTGCTTTTAGGATATGATCTTCCTCACAGATAGCAGATATGTGTGTTCAGATGGTGTAATTTGAGATTGGCAAAATCAGAACTATATTCATTCTCAATCTTATCCTGGAGCCTAAATTTTCCACAGCTATTTTGTGTTTGGTTTAGGTAAAGGCTCTTTTCAAATGTAATAAAGGGTAAGTGCAAAGTAGGGGAATTATACATTATCCCATTATAAATATTAATAACTTCCCTCATATTGGTTTCTCAGATTAGCTATATAGTCAAGGAAAGGCTTGGATGGAATGAATTATATAGCAAGAGTTTTAATGCCTATTTTTGTGATGTGATGCCTAGGGAAAATATCAAAGTATGAAGTCCTATAAAAAACAAAACTATTATCCTTAGCAAGAAGTAACTCAGAAAACATGAAGCATGTGGTAGGGCTCAGGAGGAACAGGACTGTTCCCACATGCACATACTGGTTAAATGTCAGTCTTTCGAATTAGAATATCAGATTTGAATTCCAGTGATGAGAGCTTGAGCAAGTTCCTTCACACTTTGCTTTGGTTTCCTCACTTCTAAGCTACAAGTGCTTTTAAAACTAACCTCATGAGGCTGTGGTGAATTTAAATAAAGGATATATAGAAAACACAGAGTGGTGCCTAGCATATAATAAGACTTGAAAAGTATTAGCTATTACTATTAGCAGGAGTCAGCTGCTCTGAAGCAGAAACGGTGAAACGAAAAGGGAGGCAAAGAATTCCAGAGTCTGAGAGGCACCGACGGTGATGTTTTCCTACGGCATTCCATTACTGTGGCAAGCCCTAGTGACTATAGAATTGAGCTGGGCACTCTGGTGCCCAGAGCTTCCCACACAGGTTTTGAGATGGACTTCTGAGGTTTCTGCCATGCTGAAGGGGCGATGCTTTATTAGACAGTATAATGCAGAGGTCATAGTTTCGCGTAAATTGGATACTTTCCTGAGTTTACTCAATAGCTGCTTTTTTTTTTTTTTAAAGATTTTATTTATTTATTTGAGAGAGAGAGAATGAGAGACAGAGAGCATGAGAGGGAGGAGGGTCAGAGGGAGAAGCAGACTCCCTGTCGAGCAGGGAGCCTGATGCGGGACTCGATCCAGGGACTCCAGGATCATGACCTGAGCCGAAGGCAGTCGCTTAACCAACTGAGCCACCCAGGCGCCCACTCAATAGCTGCTTTTAACAAAAATCTAAACATGGATGTTACTTAGCCAGTCAGTAAGAATGTTGTATGTATCTTTCAAAAGAAAAAAAAGTGTAGGGTTTCCCTACTTCTCCATCAAGTTGATAAGAAAGTAGACACACACACACACACACACACACACACACCCTGGATTTGGGATCCTAAGATTGAACTGAGTTTCAGCCCAACTATTAATAGCCATGATATTGCATGAGTCACAGAACTTTTCGGTCCTCAGTTTTTTTTTTT